TTGCCTCTAGAAAACTATCCAACATTATATCGATTCACGAAATTCCGTAAGTCTTCAGAATATGACGTCATCTGTCACCGTCGTCAGGCTCAAGGAGGTCTACCTGCTTCAGCCTGAAGCTCTTACGCAATTTCGTGAATCGATTTAATGTTGGATAGTTTTCTAGAGGCATTAGCTCCCACTATGCAAATCCCCTCGGAACTAGCTTTCCAGTAAGGTCGTTATGGTACACGATCCTTCGAAGACCCCATTGAGCTCGACCAGTGCACCATGTTTCCAGGGCAAATTCTTCTGATGCCGTCCACGTAGGTGGCCACTATGAAGATTTTCTTATAGAATGGAATGCGCTCTTTAATAATAAGTTGGAACCGTTCGGTCTGAGTTGAGCAAAATGTGCTTAAATCCATCTGGAAGTGGAGGCAAAATGTCTTTTTTTTTGGCCCCCCCTGTACATGTGAGCAGGGAACAAAACAAGTCCCGCGCACATTTTTGACTGAAACTTTAGGAAGGGCGAAGATCAGACACAAGCTATTAAGCCAGAACTGGTTTATTAAAGCTTCATAAAAGGAAATGGCACTTGCGATTGAGAATGAAAGAGTTAGCCCATCGTATTCGCGTCCATGTAGAGTAGAGCTCAAGTTGACGAGGTTATCTTATTGAATGGTTTGTTGGATGGCGACGCTTTCTAGAAGAGATAACTCAAACTTGCATTGACACTTGTTAAAAGAGTCTTTTTCACCGTACGTTTCAGTGGACTACCTGGTAATGTTTCTTGCACATGTTCTTCCACCACGGCTGTTTCTGGCTCAACTTGCACTGTATTACTCAACACACTCGTGAGGGACGCTCCTAGAATACTCTTTCTATATTCCCAAATTTAAGTTCACTTTGCTCTTGAAGTGCCTCTAGAATTTATATTGATGCATTGTCGCTTGTTATAACGCATTGTAGCAGTTGTTGCCCATTCACAGTCGATGTTTTTAAAGACAAAATGAAACTTCAGATTCCTGGGAACTTGCTCCGTTTAATTCTGAAGCTGAGCCAACAAAAATCATAATAGTGCGCGAAAACGTAGGGCACGCGCCCTGCTGGCGCATGAGCATTCGTGCGGGAAAAATGACTGAACTTAATGACCGAAATGACTGAATCAAACAATGACAACAAAAGCAGAGGAACAATGCAAGGGAAACGATCCCGACAGCTCCAGCGAGCCAAGGTCACTACTACTTATCTATACGGCCTCACAAAAACTCCCTTTGAAGTCTCATTTAGCAGATTTCTAAGGTAGATTTGAGACAGCGTCCAAAGCTATCTGGTGGTGTCCATCTACTCTTGAATGGTAGTGGCGACCTAGCTCCTTCCAGCTCGATGGGTCGTACTGATGAGTGTCATGACACGCTTACCTTCTGAAAATATAACAGGTCCTGCTCCCATCTCCAGCCCATCTGGACTGCTACTGCTTTGTCCTAGAATGCATCAGCTAGCAATGGCAGAATCGAACAGTTCATGGGCATGTACTGAGCATCTTGATGGGTCGTACCGATGAATCTCATGACATGCTTACCTTCTGGAATTATGACAGGTCCTGGTCCCACTTGCAGGCCACCTGGATTGCCATTACTTTCTCCTAAAAAGAGTCAGCTAACAATGACAAAATTGACCAGTTTACCCGAACATCCTAAACATAACTGTAACACAACTGTAGATCGTACCGATGAATCTCATGACATGCTTACCTGGAATTATGACAGGTCCTGGTCCCACTTGCCAGGCCATTACTTTCTCCTAAAAAGAGTCAGCTAACAATGACAAAATTGACCAGTTTACCCGAACATCCTAAACATAACTGTAACACAACTGTAGATCGTACCGATGAATCTCATGACATGCTTACCTGGAATTATGACAGGTCCTGGTCCCACTTGCAGGCCACCTGGATTGCCATTACTTTCTCCTAAAAAGAGTCAGCTAACAATGACAAAATTGACCAGTTTACCCGAACATCCTAAACATAACTGTAACACAACTGTAGATCGTATCGATGAATCTCATGACATCTTTTTCTTTAGCGTTTGTCCCGCCTGGTGGCAGGGTCCGCTTTTCTGATGTGTTGACGCCACTTTTCCCTATTGAATGCCTGATCGGGATGGATACCAGCTAACTTTAAGTCCATATGCAATGTATCAAGCCAGCGCTGCTTTGGACGTCCCTTAGGCCGTTTGCCGGGCACATCGATGTTGAGGCTCATCTTACGCGCACAGTGTCATCGTTTCCACGAAGCACATGACCATACCATCGAAGTCGAGCTTCCCGCATCTTATCAGCAATAGGAGCTACACCAAAGCGATCGCGATATGGTATCCTTCTATTTTATAAAGCGCTAACTTTGTGTGTCGGTTTGTGTATCTGTATGTGTGTGTGTGTGTGCGTGTGTGTGTATGTATGTGTGTCCGTCCGCAAAATGAAGTGAGTGAGAAGGAAGCTCATGGGATAAACAAACCGCTAACAAATCGGGTAGCTTACAGGATTTGAGATATCAATGTTTTGTAGCAGGATAGTTGTGATAACACTCTTAGGGCTATATAAACACCTGCTTAGCACACTTCCGTTCATTCCACATGGTGCTGCAGTGGCAGCTGGAGGGCAGTGGAGAGAGGAAGGGAGGATGAGGAAGGGAAGCGAAAAATCTACCGTCATATCATGATTGTGTCCCTTCTACTGTATGAAACACCATTGTGTTGCATACGCGTCACTTCCAGAGGTGTTGGTGTCACAGGAGGAAGGGACCATAGCGGAGGATAGAAAGCTTGCGCAGGAAAGGAAGGTCCCGGCGGTTGACGGGGGACTAATCTGGTCATTACAAATACGATCTAAAAGCGTGACACCAGCCGTCCAGCGCAGCATTTTCGTCTCCATTACACCGAGGCGGGCTTCCATTTCCTTAGTCGTGGGCCAGCACTCAGCGCCGTACATTGCCACCGGTCTTATGACGGTTCTATAGATCTTCGATTTCAGGCGTTCTGGAATCTTTTTGTCGCAGAGAACACCCGTCATAGAACGCCACTTGGACCATGCAGCACTCACGCGTGAACTCACTTCAGTACCCATACTACCATCTGACGCTATTACCGATCCAAGATACTTGAACGTGGTCGTGCGTGATAGCTCTGTGCCGTTAATTCTTACCGAACTGTGTTCGCTCAAGTCGGTTGTCAAGTACTCGGTCTTTTTGACATTCAACCTGAGTCCGAACATCGCTAGGCGATCGGCCCAAGCTTGCACTTGCTGCTCGAGTGAGTTTTTGTCTTCGCAGGCGAGCATCACGTCATCGGCATAGAGGAGCGTCCATGGAGCCGGTTTCTGGAGGTCTCGTGATATGGCATCCATGACGACAACGAAAAGGAGTGGGGATAGTGCAGAGCCTTGGTGCACCCCAACAGAGATGGGGAATTCCATTGAGGTTCCTGCTGACGTTTGCACTCGGCTCTTTGAGCTCGAGTATAGCATGCGAACCCACTCAATAAGTTCTTCGGGGACGCCACGTTGTCTCAGAGCGTACCATATTACATCACGCGGAACGCGATCGAAAGCCTTTTCTAAGTCTAGGAAGGCAAAATGCAGAGGCTTCCGTTTCTCGCGGTGTTTTTCTAATAGTAGACGAGCGGCATGTAGGGCATCGATGGTACTAACGCCGCTTACAAATCCACACTGGTTCGTGGCGAGCTGCACTATGTCGCGAATACGACGATCTATAATTCGCTCGAATATCTTCATGGCGTGGGAAAGTAGACGAATTGGACGGTAGCTCGTGCAGTCTGCGGGGCTGCCCTTCTTTTTCCAGATGGGAATCGTCGTGCTCTGGCACCAACTCGCAGGCACTTTCTTTTCTGCAACAACTTGGTTGAAGAACTTCGTCAACCACTCCGCAGGATGCCAGCACTGTGACTTCCACAGATCGGCTGCCAAGTCGTCGGGACCCGTTGCTTTACCTGTCTTCATCTTCTTCAGCGCCGCTTCAGTTTCTTCCACAGTTATCTTCGAGACGGGACCGTAGACGGGAGGGGCAGAAGGGATTGGCGGATGTGAGAATTCTACTGTCGAGATTCTTTCGAAGTAGTCGTGCCATCGCTTTACTGCCTTCTTGCGGTCCATTAGGAGCCGCCCGTTCTCGTCATTAATGCCGAAAAACTTCTCGACATCCTCGGTTTGGCGATGGCGAGCTTTGGCTAGTCTGTAGACATATCGTTCGCCATCGCGCGTCTCGAGTTTCTCGCTAACGCTGGCGAAGTGAGCAGCTTTGACGATAGCCACGGCTTTCTTTGCAGCCTTCTTCGCCTTCTGGTAGTTCTCCCAGTTCTCGGCTGTTTTGTCGTTGAGGAACGTATGATAGAATCTTTTCTTCTCTCGCAGTTTTTCCTTGACAGTATCCGTCCACAGCCATGTTTGTTTGTCAATTTTCCGACGCCCAGGCTTTGTGGTGCCGAGTTCGGAGCGAGCGACACGGACTATCGCTTCGGTGGCACTTTCCCACGTTTCGTCGACGGTCGTTACTGTCGGTAAGCGAATGCGGGAAAACAGCGCAGATTCTTTTTCTTTCAGTCGCCACCACTTGATCCTTGCAGGCCCGCACCGTTCAACTTGCTTTACTTTCGGAGGAGTGATCTTCAGGGTGCAGATCAGTGGTCGGTGTTGCGTGGCGACCGTCTCGTACGGCACCGTCTTCGCGTCCGTCACTAGCCCTCTATCACGCTGCCTGACGAGGACAAAATCAATTTGCGTTCTGGTATCCCCACTGTAAAACGAGATGAGGTGGGAGTCACGTTTGCGATAGTTTGTGTTCACGATGGTGAGGTTGTGCGAGTTTGCATACTCTAGAATTCTCTCGCCATCGGCGTTTCGTGACCCATACCCAAATCCGCCATGACAGCTGTAACCATCTTTCGTAGCCCCCACGTGACCATTTAGGTCACCGGCAACAATTAGGGCATCCTGCGATGGTACATCAGCTGTTTTGTCATCCAGCAAGGCCCAGAACTGGTCCTTGGCGTGTTCGGAGCAGCCTGTCTGCGGAGCGTACGCAGAGAAGAAGTGATATTGACGTTGCTCAAAAGCGACAACGATCTTCATTAGGCGGTCATCGTAACGTTCAACGCTGACAATCGAGTCACGGAAACGTTCAGAAACGATAACACCGACACCGTTAGTTGTCCCGGGACTGCCGCAAAGAATGGCTTTGAAGCCACGGCCAAGGTCCTTCGATTTGCAGCAGGACCACCTCGTTTCTTGCACAGCACAGAGATCAATTCGTCTGCGCTCCAGTGTCTCTACCAACTCAAAAGAGCGGCCCGACAACGTGCCAACATTCAACGTTGCGACGCGAGTCTTGCATACGTTGCGGGACTTTTGGACTAGCCTAGTTGCCCCCCGATGCCGTCCTTGCACCGGAGACCCTCGCATACTTTTCACACTCGCCGGGCTTTGCGAGTGCGCGTCGGCTCCCGCGGACGCCGTAGCATTATCTCGAGATTCATTTAGCGACATTGACATTTGTGATGTGACGTGGGTGTTCGTAGGCCGGCCTGTCACGGGGGCCTGTCGCCTGCATTCGAATGTCCGTGTTCAGCTCAGCTCACAAAAGTGAGCAGTTTCCAGTGGCACCACTTGGAGGAGCGGACGTCACACGATGAATCTCATGACATGCTTACCTGGAATTATGACAGGTCCTGGTCCCACTTGCAGGCCACCTGGATTGCCATTACTTTCTCCTAAAAAGAGTCAGCTAACAATGACAAAATTGACCAGTTTACCCGAACATCCTAAACATAACTGTAACACAACTGTAGATCGTACCGATGAATCTCATGACATGCTTACCTGGAATTATGACAGGTCCTGGTCCCACTTGCAGGCCACCTGGATTGCCATTACTTTCTCCTAAAAAGAGTCAGCTAACAATGACAAAATTGACCAGTTTACCCGAACATCCTAAACATAACTGTAACACAACTGTAGATCGTACCGATGAATCTCATGACATGCTTACCTGGAATTATGACAGGTCCTGGTCCCACTTGCAGGCCACCTGGATTGCCATTACTTTCTCCTAAAAAGAGTCAGCTAACAATGACAAAATTGACCAGTTTACCCGAACATCCTAAACATAACTGTAACACAACTGTAGATCGTACCGATGAATCTCATGACATGCTTACCTGGAATTATGACAGGTCCTGGTCCCACTTGCAGGCCACCTGGATTGCCATTACTTTCTCCTAAAAAGAGTCAGCTAACAATGACAAAATTGACCAGTTTACCCGAACATCCTAAACATAACTGTAACACAACTGTAGATCGTACCGATGAATCTCATGACATGCTTACCCTGGAATTATGACAGGTCCTGGTCCCACTTGCAGGCCACCTGGATTGCCATTACTTTCTCCTAAAAAGAGTCAGCTAACAATGACAAAATTGACCAGTTTACCCGAACATCCTAAACATAACTGTAACACAACTGTAGATCGTACCGATGAATCTCATGACATGCTTACCTTCTGGAATTATGACAGGTCCTGGTCCCACTTGCAGGCCACCTGGATTGCCATTACTTTCTCCTAAAAAGAGTCAGCTAACAATGACAAAATTGACCAGTTTACCCGAACATCCTAAACATAACTGTAACACAACTGTAGATCGTACCGATGAATCTCGTGACATGCTTACCTTGTGGAACTACAACAGATTCTGGCCCACCCACTCGCAATTGACATTTTGTTCTTCCTGATGGCAGAAAGATACTGTATAATAAGCCACGTTATTTCACTATAGGGATGGACTTCTGCTAGCACTTCTCCATTATGCAGACCATCAAAAAACCTCTGCTTTTTGTTCTTAGTAAGCGCATTGTTTAAAGGCAAAGGTCGGGATTAGTTGACCTAACCAACCCTTTCGGTCATGCCTGTACTTGGTTACGCACCCGTAGAGATGTTCCCACGCTCAAAATCTCAAACGGCGCGGTAATAAGGCCCCAGGGCATGTACTATGCGCTATCGCCGCCTGGCCCCGCTACGACCGCCCACCTTGGGATGTGGTGCGTGGCTGGCATAACGTGTGAAATCAGCTAGGTTGATTGCCGTATCAACCGATAGAACCATCTTCAGAAAACTTCTTTATACAGTCGATATCCGAAAGTTGGGGTAGGTGTGTCACCGGAAGTGACGTGCACTTGATAGAAGTGCGTGGATAAGCTGTTGCCAGCATGCTTTGCTGATATCCAGCGATGTATGTTGGAAGCAGCTTATCCACATAGTTTCTATCAAGTGCACGTCACTTCCGGTGACACGCCCACCCCAACTCACCGATATCGAGTATACGTGCCTCTTTCCCAAGCCAGCCTCCTTCACTGCTAGTGGGAAAGAGGGTTTTGTTAACGGCCTTGTCGACGGTTTTTCTCAGTTTTTTCTCCACTGTCGTTCCACTTCGCATCTCTATACTCAGTTTCAATCGCCATAATACCCCCTTATTGAGCCCGACTTTTGCCTTTAAATGTTCAGTGCATCTCCTGTTGATATCCCATACCTGTAGCTCCGAGCTGTTGTGGAATTACAGGTCCAACTCCATCCGCGGGATTCCATACAGGAAACGTGTACACAGCTTCGACAATAGCGATCACAACGGTGATCCTATTCATTCTTGAAGAAAATCTTTTCTGACCTTGAAAGCTACCCTTGAAGTAAACACTTAGCGCTTCTGAAATGTTCTCTTCTGAAAAATGACAGAGCGATTGGATGAGATCTTTCTGCAACCATAGACAACTTGGGTGGAACGGCGTGGTAGAAGTCACTCGTTAATGGCTCTTTATCTAACGTAAAAGAAGGAAACGAGCATAGTTCGGGCAATGTTTCCACAGAGAAAAGGGAGACAATTGTAGATTTCTCTGCGTGGCTCGTATTTATGTATCTGATTCTGTTTAATTTCATATATAAACGGTGTCATAACAATAAAAACATTATAAGCGCTATAAAAACAAGAATTAAATTTTGACGGCTAAGTTGTAAAAAACATTGACGATACTGCGGACGCTTTCTCCGCCAATTTTATGGTTTTTCAAGGCTATTTGTTCAAGGCTATGTGGGGCTATTTGGAAGCTTCTAGCAATTTTTGCACTCAATTTTAAATACATATATCTCAGCTAATAGTAAGTCTCAGCCGCTCAGACTGCAAGGATTTCGGAGGCAGTCGGACTGAAAGTTTGTTTCAGCCTTACGTTAGGTTTCGCAGCATTTTTCTTCAATGAGGCTACTCTGATGTCTAAAAACGTGACAAGCGAGGTGTAATGAAGTAAGGTGGTTCCAGCTTTGTTCCACAGCTCGGATGCTCAACTTGTGCAAGATTGCTTGTGCGTACAAGCCACCACCAATTCGCTAGGATAAGTTGGTCCTTTCATTGTGATGAATGCTGTGTCCATGTGCTGAAGTTAGTAGGGTATTCTGACATTTTATAGAGCGCTGTTCTCCATGTCACAGATTCACCAGAGCTGAAAAAAACTGGGCGAAGAGTAGGCCACTGACACAAAAATCACCGTACCTCCTCAGTGAAGCAACAGTTTGCAAACATTTGTCGGTCAGTCAAATGATTCCAGAGCCTCGGACGTTTTTGCAAAAGTTCCGCTCGAGGTCGCCAGCCGCAATCGAGTAGAAAAATGGATCCTTTTCATCGCATAAAAGGAGGTGGAAGAGAGGCAGGCGACACTCCAAAACGGCAATTATTCACTTATATATTTTTGGACCGTCAAACTCCTCCTATAACAGTAGCGCTTAAGAGACTTCGGTGGAATACTTTTCGGACTGTAACTTCCTTTTTGCTGGATCAAATCAGCTCAAATTTCGACATCTTTTGAAGGAAGGGTCTTTCCGCTGAACCACCATATTAGTATCTAATGGGAGAAAGAATTGTGAATGAAAAGCTGTTTAACTAGAAATTTTCAAGTATGATCAAGTGCCATCTGAAAATCAGAATGTTGTAAAGAGCTTACAATTTAATATAACAGTCCAACACATGATGAAAACCATTAATCACATTCAATACTTTGTCACGTCCGATGGCGCTCAGGACACGTGTGCGAGTGGTCCCTTTGAAAAAAGCGCGCCTGCTGTCGAAACTCTCATTCACAGCAGAGGTCCGATGTTTTAGTTACTCTCTTACTAGAATGAGCTCAGAAAGGCGTGCAGTTGTTATTACGTTGGGATCGCAACAAACCCCTTCTAGAAACTATCATGATTGCGTTCAGCGTTCACACATTGAATCCCAGCGTGGTCCGGCATTATTCACAATCTATCAACACCGAGATTACGCCTTATTTTACTGGCGGAATGGCTATTGATAATTTGGATCCGAACGTTAATCGTGCGGACTCCACACATGCCTACTGCCATCGCCTTCAAACACCTTCCGCAGTAGGTGAGGGCGGACGTATACGTCTGGTGTTTGGTTTGGAAGGTGTTCGTATTCATCGTGCACAACTTGGAGGGGGGGGGGGGGGGGGGGGGGGGGCGAACTACTTCGTTATTGCTATGTCCCCAGAGCGACCAAACCCATCGCAACTTTCTTCTAAAGAAGGAATGGTTTCGAGATGCGTACTATTCTCTTAAGCAGGAGGGCCAACTCGGCCAACCATGATCCATTCGTGGCAATACCGGATCATTACGAGAAGGGAAAACGGTTTCACGGAAATAGGAAACCATGAAATATGGACGAAAAGAGTTTGTCAGGTTTTAAGAAAAATGTAGGAAGTTGTCCCGGTATAGAGAGCATTCATTGACTGGTTCCGTACTTGGGCCTTGATAAGATTTTCAGCAACCACAGAAGTTAAGTGACAAAATATTGTATCTGTCTGAATTATTCATCATCGCCTAGGTTGCTTTATTGTAATTGTAAGCTTTTGAAGTATTTGAATTTAAGTTGGCACTGTTGTCATACCCGAATGTCCATTTAAATGGTCTTTCTCATTCACATGTCCTTCTTGCCAATAGGCGGCGGATGTTTTGAATTTGGCGATCGAGCTGTGCATGTTTTACAGTGCCGAATGTTAATGTGCACGATATGAATTCCACCTTATTTGATCTCTGACTCATTTTACGCAGACATTGTGGCATTAAAGTATTTGTTTCAAGTTCATTCATCCAATTAGCTGGAAAATATGCGCAAGATGTTAGACTGGAACTGAGCTTCGACGCATTGATTGGAGTTGAATGTCAAGGGACGGGGCTGTTGATTTGCGTCCCTTTACTACCAAAGCCCAGTGACGGCACGCAGGATATTCACACAGTGGTCCAGTGTCTGCGCGGCCACGTAGCGCGAAGATCCAGACGATTCTATTGGCCCTTTTCACCACACTTTTGTCACAATTCTGAGCCAAATACGTTTTTGGCATCATGATCTACTCCCGCCCTTACCTGACCTAATTTAAGCTGGGAATGAAAATCACGCGAAACTGCTCTTCGAGCATGCCGCATTAAGGGCTTTCAAAAAGTGAGTAACAAATGCGCCCCCCGCCTCATGACCAACATATCTTCAAAGAAATAAATGGGCTTCGAATTAAAGAGGCAGGAATTTGTTTTGATTATATAAAAGTAGCACTCAAAGTGAGTACTTAAAAACAATTGAATTTTCTAAAGGCACGCTTTCGAACTACGTCAGTGGGTAGTTCCTCGGGTATGACAAAGCGGTTTCATAAGGTTGCAATGAGCCGTTGCTTCAGAAGGATGTGACAAGGGCGCTAGAGCCTTGCTGATGCCCTGATTAGGGGAGTTTCGCTATCTCCAGCCATGCAGCAGTGATACCGCATGCTGTATCTTGTCCTAGGGGTGCTCTCTGCGGTTTCCGTCGGTGGTATGTTCTTCTGCAGCCTACACATATCGCTTTTCGAAAGTTCGGCCTGGACCTTGCGCTCTTGAGAATTCTTCGGTATCGAGCGCTACACACAAACCTTCCTAGTTGCTTCCCGTCAAAAGTCCCAATAGTTTTTAAAGCCGCATTCCGGCATTCCGCCCCCACTTATGCAGATTAATTCTTTCCGTGGGATTCTGGGTGCGTGCACGTATTATGTCCATTTAAATCCTGATTCTCACGAACACCGCCCTAACAAGAGATCAGGGCATTAGAAGAGGAACATAAGGCATTTATTTCATTCAAAGGCTCTAATATGGCTGCATAGAGGGCGAGCAACAACAAAATTTTTTATTTCTGGAATTCTGGCGCGCGCAGGTTGGTCTTTCTCACTCGCGAAACTGAGCTTCACCCACACAGATACTTTCATTTTAGATTTAATATTTTCACACAATTTGATTAGTGGACGAGAGAACGAGAGAAATCGAGGAGAGAGTGAGAGAGAGAAGAGATCGATATTCTTTTGGTGAAGCGGGAGTGTGAGGGATCAAGCGTGTGCTGCGCAGTCTGTGTAATAGGTGAATGTGCAAGAGAGACACTGAGCGATGAGAGAGAGGTAGAGAGAGGAGAGTGTGCGAGGACAGTCACGAGAGAGAGTGATATACCTGGTAGAGTGAGAGAGAGAGAAGAAAGATTTGAGAAAGATGTTCCTTCTGACAGTGACGCTACGAGTGTGAGAGACACCTTCTTCCTGTACTGATATTTGAGAGGTGAGTGCCCAGTCGTGGAGCGGTCTAATTTTGTGACGTGTGTGCTGATAACTTCCTCTATCGATACCGGGAGGGGAGAGCTGGGGAGAGTGTGAGGAGCCCTCACGGAAGCCGCGCCGTGGAGTAAAATTGGACTTCGCCGCTCACGGTGCGAAGAAGGAGTGATAAGTTGGCACGAGTACTGAGTGTGAGTGAGAGAAATTGCTGCTGAGCTTCAGATAAGTGAGTGAAGAGTGAAGATCTATCATCTCGGGCGAGAGACCGAGAGTGTGGTTAGATAAAGGTGAGAGTGTGTGATACACCCAATGGGTAAGATGCGAGTGTGAAGCGTGTGTGCAGAGACATTATGAGAGGTGAGTGCGATGTGAGCGAGGTAGTATGTCGGAGTAGTGCTATAGTGTGCGTGTTCTCGACGCGCGAGTTTCGGACCACAGGTGGTGTGGTGTCAAGTGATTGGTGTGTCTGAGAGAGTGAGAGTGCGTACGACTCATTAGCCCTTTCCCATTTACCAGTATGAGTGAAAACCTCGTACGATTAAAGTTAGGAATTTTTTGAGACGAAAAAGAGAGGTAGGTCGAATTTGACATCATCTGACAAATCATCCCTCTACCTTGCTAAACAGTTGGGCCTGGACAAAATATGTATACATTTAGTTAGAGTAGGGTCTGCACTGTTTGGTGGAAAATTTATTACTTACCAGCTCAACTGGACAATTTTTCCCGGAATCTTTTTTCCCACGTGGGGTCAAAAGCGCACCCTTTTTGAGCACACGTGAGTAGCAGATGAGCACATTTATTAGAATTTCTTGGTCAATCAACTTCGTTAGAGCGTCTGTGCACCATCGATCAGTAACTGCTAGGGTGTCCTACCATTCCAGCACAAGACTGGTGCAGCCCCGTTTTGACTGATTTAGCTAGGACCACCTTTTTGGCGACGGTTGCGGGCATCCCTTCAAAGACTTTACTGTCTTTTAAGAAAACTGTGAAAAACCGATGAGCATTTTAAATGGTAGTATTCCCTCCATCAAATGCAA